TAAAACCTGAACACAGGGAGAGCTGCTGCTTATAAATGAGCAAAGAAAATTTCATATTTCTTGAGATGGAATCTATTCCTGATGAACATGCAAGGAACACTGTTAAAATGACAACAAATGATTTGGAATATTCCATAAATTTAGTTGATAAGGCAGCAACAGGATTTAAAAGAATTGGTTCCAATTTCGAACTAAATTCTTCTGTGGGTAAAATGCTATCAAAAAGCACAGAAAAATCTTTTGTGAAAAGAAGAGTTGACTGGTGCAGCAAACTTCACTGTTATCTGTTGTAAGAAATTGCCACAACCACCCCAGCCTTCAACAACCAACCTTGATCAGTCAACAACCATCAACATTGACGCAAGACCCTCCACCAGTGAAAAAGACTACAATTTGCTGAAGGCTCAGATGATCATTAGCATTTTTGGCAATAAAGCATTTTTTAATTAAGGCATGTACATTGTCTTTTAAACATAGTGCTATTGCACACAATATACTACAGTATATTGTGTAAAGATAAATTGGATAAGCACTGGAAAACCAAAAATATGCTCTGACTTTTTGATGATATTTTGTGGCTTTAATACGATATTCACTTTATTAAGGTGGTCTGGAACCAAATCCACAATATCTCCCAGGTAGGTATTCCTGGAGATCTGTAACGTCCTCACTAACTTACCCTACACACACAAAATAGTAACTATGAGTAATGATGGATATGTTATTTAAAGTGATTGTGGTAATCATTTTGAATTGTATGGCTATATCAAATCATCACATTATACACCTTGAATATGTACTTTTAAATTTGTCAATTACACCTCAAAAAAGCAAGAAAAAATAATTCATTAAAACTGCATCAATTAAACTGAAAAGATTTTCATTAGTTACAATTGGGTAAGAACTGCACCATTTTGGAAAATAAACAACAGAATAACATCTAGACATGTGTCTATCCATATACTTATTTACCTATATGGGAGAGGAAAAGAATATGACAAGGCTCATGCTAGGTTCTCAGATGGTATAACTACTGGGACCATGGATTGGTTGCTAATGTGAATGGAGTAGATAAAGGCCATACTTTTATCATTTCACACTTTTATCAATTCACCTTCCTGGCTAATATACTATATATTTCTAAATAAGTAACTAATGGCTTTTATTACAGATGATTACTACAGAGAAAGAGATAGGGTTAAGAAGTGGCATATATTAATCTACTCATCAACAAATGTTTATTGAATAACTATTACTGCTGGAACAGTGTGAAGCACTAGAAAAAGAGCAGTGACAAAGCAAGAAATGGTCCCTTCCTTCTAGAGCTTACAACAAGTTATTTAACTTTGATTATGATTTGTGCTACAAAGGAGAAATTGAGAATGAAAAGAAAGTCCACAGTCAACTCAGAAAATAAAGAAGATAGACAGAGGTCACGTCAGATAGGGCTTTACAGACCACACTGAATTTAGATTTAGATTCAATAAATCTAAAGCACAATGGGAAGCCATTGGAAAGTTTTAAATAGTGGCACAATGAGAATTGCCTTTTTAAACAACTAAACATGATAAATTAAGAACTTATGTGCTTGTGTTCCTGCTTCTGAAAGGACACTGCAAGGACAGTAAAGCAATAAAGAGCTATAAACCCAAAAGAACAAAAAGACTAAAAAGACAAAAAAGAGAAAAGATGTTAATAGGTTTAGAAGATGGAAGCTGGTGAAGAAGCAGTCACTGACTTGCTAAGTAGTGAGAAATTAAACCTCTAGAGGCAGACAGCAATGAGAAGTTAGTGATTCACCCCAAAGAGGCTCAAAAAGAAACAGAGATGGAAACACCTCATATTCATTCTGCAGAAGGTAGGGGTAGGGCAAGAGGCCAAAAAGGCAAGGGTTGGGGGTCAATGTAATTCTTAAGATGTCTTGAAGATCAAGTCCACCCACACATCCTCAATGATTACCCTTCCCCAAATTGGAAATAAGCGGTTTTTTGTTGTTGTTTTTTGTTTTACCCAGAAATATTGACCTTGAAAGGCTCTAGATCCTGGACATCAGACCCAAAAGAGGACAGTCAGGTGACAGACTGAAGAAGGATTAAGTAAAAGCAGGCAGATTTTAATTATTACTTTGCATCCCTGGTGAGAGACTAGATAGTCCTCCTCTGAAAAGAATTGAATGGCTCCAGAGAATAAAGCTGTTGATGCTGATATTTGGAGTGTTCCAATTAAAAATACAGCTCAGTTCTGAATTGAACTTCAGTGATGCTCATGGGTTCAGTGTCTTACTGATGCACTTGGTCCTGCAAATCCATATTACAGTGCTCTTAAATGGAGATCAGGGATCAGCAGATACCTAAATCCTCCAACATAAAGAACAGAGCAACAGCAACAAAAAAAGAGTTATTCAGAGGAAAAAAAAAAGATGGCAAGACAGAAACAAAGGTGAAAGAGTGTTAAATATACATAATTAATATGATCAGAGTAATAAGAAAAAATATTATATTCATGAAATTAAAAAGTCAGTAAGCCAAAAATATGCAGATCTTTATAAAAGATGAAATTGCAGTAGTTTAGTAGAAGGCTCAGAGGACAAATTAAAGGAAATCTCCCAAAAATTAAAGCACAAGAAGTAAGGTGATAAAAATGGAAAATAGAAGAGAAGTGAAAATTGGAGATTCAGTCCTAGTAGTCAAAAATCCAACAAAAAAAGGAATTCTAGTAAGGGACTACACAGAAAAATGGAAGGTAGAATATTATTGAGGGAATAAATCAGCAGAATTTCTCAGAATTGAAGAACTCAAAACTTAGACTGAGATTGAAATGCTCACTGGGTATCCATCAGGAAAAATGAACAAATTGAACATAGTGGAAAAAGAGAAGACACCAAATCTTCCAGAGTGGTAAATCAGGTTGTATTAAAAGGATCTGGAGTCAGAACTGGACTTCTCAGTAGGGACCCCTTCTATGCAAATCAGAAGTCTGGTCATCATCATCACCAGTTAGGAGTGAGCAGCAATTCCATTTTCTGAATTGAAGAATACAAGAGCAGGCCCAAGTGTATACAGAAAATTACAACTGGGCTATTATGAATCCGAGCTGCCTATCAAATAGAGAAGGAAAGAAGTAACACTTTAAGTTAAAATTTAGTAAATGTCTGTGATCTTTATTCAGACTGAGCTTAGCCTGCTCGGAGATTTCCTCATTTACCTACTGTCTCAATTCCTGTCTTGGAGGTCAAATAATATTTTGAATTATAGTCTTAGAGTGATTCCTAAGTTCCCCTTACCTTAGCTAGATCTCTATCTAACAAGCTAACTCTCCTTCCTCCATTATGTGAACCAGACAGGGAAAGAAGGAATTAGAAGAGGATTGAGCAAGTAGGGAAATCACAGAGTTTTTAATGTTTAAAATTGTCACTTAACAGGTATGCTTGGTTCACACATATTTCTCTGGGGTTTCTTATTTCCAAACGAGTCCCTCCTCTACATATGTAGAGGTCATCCAGAAGGAAGCTGTGACAGAGATCATTACAGCCAGCATTTTTTTTTTTAAACTAACAATGGCTACCACAGTACTTAGCACAGCAAACAGTACTCAGTAAATATCAGTCTAACCTGCTCTCCTCTCCTTTTACTATTTCACCAATTCCTTCAGAGTGTAAATGGGTAAGTAAATGCAAATCTGCATTGCTTGGTTTACTTCTTAGGGTCTTGGTAGCTGAAATAGTTGGGGAAAAAAATTTAAAGACTGAAAATTGAAATTCTTGTCATCTTATCTTCCAACATTGAAAAAGATGACCTTCAGTGCAGTTTTTACTTTGCCCAAAATTCTTACTGAGCTTTTGGTTAGTGACAAACAAAACCATTTTGATTCACCTGCTATTGAGCTGTGAGATGGTCTAAAGAACAAAGGAAAAAAAAAATCAAAACCTGTGATATTCATTTTAGATGAAAGAAAAAAAATTTCAGAGAAATGAAATCAGAGAAATGAATATCCAAGTAAACACAATGGTAAGAGTAACAACAGGCCAGGAACAGAATAAACAAATACCAGGAAAGTTATTTTCAGAATTTGTTTACTTAATGTTTAACACTGAAAGCAAACACAAGAGAATCATTAAGGAGACCTTCTGCATTGCTCCACTCAAGCAATTAGAATCTGTAAGTAGTATAAAGATAATTACTCACTTGGTCCTCCTACATAGTAATTAGTTCATAAGGTAAATATGAAAGTACAGCATTGCATTGCAGGTGGTTTTATACCAGCCTGTCTGTGTAGACTGTAGCAGAATGGTGGGGGCAAAAGGCAACTGGAAAGGGTCTTACTAAAGTTTGTTACTTAGCTTTGTCATTACAGTAGATGTCTAATATTTTTTTGAGTGACAGTGAAATTATTTCTTTAGACAATTTGACTTAAAAACCACCCAAGTCAGTGTGCATAAAAACAAAAATCAAATGAAGCCTGCAGATTTTAGTTTGTCTTAATTCATGGTAAAAATAGTCCTAGTTAAACCAATTGTCGTATGAATCAGATCAAAATGATTCAACTAATGAACGCTTCCCTACTGGAGTGCTATGCCTAATATTTATAGTAGGTTTACCACAGTGCCTGTGCAAAGGAAATAATTTACCATGAACTGATTAGCAGTTTTTTCCGTATTCTACTACTATAAACATGCTAACAAGTTCAGTATATTTCACTTCAAAGATAAAGAATCCCTCACCACAAGAGGGTTAAATCAATCCTCAGGTTATGATATGGGATCAAATTCTGCCCAAAAACAGTTTAAAAACCATGTAAACACATTATTATATCCTGAGGCCCTTATTAACTGTATTTTGTCGCTTTAGTTCTAGTGATTTGCACCCATTTGCATTAAAAAATTATAAGAATAGGTGACCTTAAGACATCTGAGTCCAAATCCCCCATTTTACAGACTCAGGCAAAGACCCGAAAGCAGGCCGTGCATAGTGGCTCCTCCCAGTAATACCAGCATTTTGAGAAGCTAAGGCGATAGGATTGATTGAGCCCAGGAGTTCGATACCAGGCAGGGCACCATAGTGAGATCAAGGTTAGGCTGAGATGCGTGACACATTCGAACTTAATCCTGTTCCCTTTAATACTCATGTCTTGTTTTAAGTCGCAAACTAAGGCGATGGAGGGAGTCAAGTTGTACATTCTCAATCGCCAATTACGGATTAATCGACAGAATCTTAACTGATTATTAGTACAAATAACATTTTATTTTGTGATCTACCTAAGAGGGTTTGGTTATTCACGCATTCATATTTTTTTTAATTAACTTATTCAGTTTTTCTTCGATTGGGATGAGTTTTTCAGAAGAGCAGAAGCAGACAGCACAGAAAGTAGAATACATCCGTGGAAAAGTTGGGAGAGACAAACGCGGATGGGGTGGCTGCACTGATGCAGGGAAAAGGATTAGGAAAACGGAGAGGGCTCCTCGGCCCCGCTCTGGGCAACAAGGAGCACCCCCGACCTCAGCAGGGGTGCCCGGCCGCCCGCCCTCCCTCGCGAGTCTATTCTCCAGAGGACGCGGGGAGCTGGGTCTGCGCGCTCCGCCGCCAGTCACCCCGCGCCCGCGCCGGGCTGCGATTGGACGCGCCGCCGCCTGGCACTCGCCAGAAACACCAAAGCGCCGCGGAGAGGAGGGGGGCGTGCTTGCGAGTCGAGGGCTTTGGCTTTTTTATGGCTCCCCCCTCCCCTCCGCACTCCATGCCGGGTCTATAGTTCCTGCTGGCCTCGGCTCGCTCGCGCGGCGGTAGAGTTGGCGCAAACGTCGCCTCAGCCGCAGTCTCCTCGCCGCTCTTTCCCCAGCGCCCTCCGCTCCCGCCATGGGGCCAACGCGGGGCTCCTAAGAGTTGCAGTCTCTCAGCGGCGCGCTCTGCAGCCAGTCACCGCGGGCGGACAATGGCTTAGGGCGCCAGAGGGGTTAGTCTAGACGTACGGGAAGGGGAAAAGACGGCTAACTGGGGAAAAAAAGAGAAAACGAAAGAAAAGCCAAACGATGAGTTTCCACAAGGAGGACGGAGTCAACAGTCTGTGCAAGAAGGCGCTGCACATCGTCACCGAGCTGTGCTTCGCGGGCCGAGTGGAGCAGGAGAAGTGCTTGGGCATCTTCCCCCGGGACCGGGGCAGCCAGGGCGGAGGCAGCACAGGTAACCGGGAGGGGACCCTGCGCGCTCGGTTGCAAGCTCCGGGGTCCTACACCTCCCGCGCCGCTCCCAGGGCATATTTAGGGGGCCGCGCTTTCCTACCTCGCTCCGTACTTCGCTCGGCTCCTGGCGACTTCGAGGGTGGGATGTTTGGGTTTTGTCTCCTCTTGTCCACCTGCCGGGCTTCTCCCGCTGTCTGGTCCGCTTCCGGCCTCCTGGCGCCGTCTCCCGCTCCCAGGCTCGCCGCGCCTCTCCGCGCTCTCCCACGCCTCGCGTCTCCCTCCTGGAGTGGAAAGGCGAATGCGGGCGGTGGCGGCGCCCGGCCTCTCGCGGCGCGGCTGCTCCCGGGGGCGGCTCACCTGTGGGACTCGGGCTGCCCTCGTTTGTCACAGTGGCCGCTGGTCCGGGTCTTGCGCATGGGGCCTAGGTGGGACGCACCAATCAATGTTTGGACGCACAGAACTAACTCCCTTGCAGATGTGGCTGCCTTGGCCTCTGAGGTAACTCGCGGCTTCAACCGGTCGGGCACTTAACAATTTCCCAAGCCCTTTAATAGATACGATTTTCTAGGGTTTCATGACAGAGTTGGTGAAACAGCAAGGATTATTGATCCCATTTGTGAGTTGACACCTAAAGCTCAGGACACATATCGAGGAAGTGGAAGAGAGAGGAAACGTTTAAAATCCCTTGCACACGCAGGCTCTCATACACCCAACTCATAGACGTCCTCCCTGCCCTTCAGGAAACTTGGAAATGGGCTGGATGGAGGCGGATATCGACCGTCGGAAATCTGGAGATGGGGAAAAGTCTCAAGTGGATTTTCCTCAAGGCTTGGGGCTAGAAAGGAGCGAACCCGAGCCACCGTTCGGGTCACTGTTGGGGAAAAGGCTGGTGTGTCCAGCCTGCTGTGCTGCTCGCGCGCAAGAGAGATGAACCCCCGAGTTGCGGGCGGCTTGGTTTCGGGAGTCACTAGAGAAGGGTCACTTGTTGCATTGGGAGTCAAAAAAAACACTGCTTTCGGGATTTTTGGCTGGAAGGTTACCATTCCTTCTGTAGGTTCTTTCCCTTTGCTTTTCCTGTCATTTTGATGGGATTTTAAGCGTGGAAGATAGTCGGGGCAACAAGAGCTGGACAGCCAAGCCCGGGGTGGAGCAGGACAACACTGAGCCCTTCGTGCTGGGAGGGAGCAAAGCGGGCACACTTAGTGAATCCCCTCCACCGCCACCCCTGCGTCAAAGCCAAGCGGGGACTGGAAATGGATTTAGTTTAGTTTTTACAATTCCATTGTTCACATGGGTAGCTGCAGGGTTTAGAATTCTCTGATCTGTGGAGCCAAGGGGGCTTTGTCCGCACTTGTCAGAGCTTGAAGAGGTGCCGATGTTTGGACCCTGGAGCGGAAAACTTTAGCATTTCAGTGTATAAACACAACCGAGAATCATTTCCATTCGTTCAGTAGGTGTTAAATTCCTAGGAGTGTGTGAAACTCAGTTATCAGTGGAAGGGACTGGGTGAGCATGGTGTATTCATGTCGTGTGTCATTGCTAAGCATGAGGTAAAGACCAGAATACTGTGACCTTAGAGTCCTCTGTGGTGATATTAGATAAGGTTTTCGGAAACGTCGTTAGTGACATACGTGCTAAAGGTAAGACTCAGAGAAGGGGCTACACTGGATGAAATTAGAGTATTTAACTTTGAAGACTTGTGCTTTGGTAATTGAACAGTTGATCCTGTGAATAAAACTACTGATTTTCCTCTTTCCTGCCCAGAAGTGATCACATACCAAAATAGTGGTTTCCCGGGTCTCAGATTGGCTGATAATGAGGAAAATATGTGAAGGCTAGAAACCAAATCCCAGCTTTTAAATCTGTCTAAAATGCACAGCTATATCACCTTCTGATAAAATACAGTATATGAATCGTAGAAGGGGTTCTCAGTTTTTCCTACACTACCAGAAGTAGTTGTAGTCTGAATTCCTTTTGAACTTTTTCCCTTGGGAATAAAAAGAAAAAAAAAAAAAAAAAAAATGCCTAAAACAATTGCAAGAATATTTTCCTCCCCTTAAGAGGAAATATATACTCCGTAATATATACAAGTAGGGTATTCGATTGAATATAAGAACATTTAATGACTATTACTAAGAATTCTACAAGGTTGTGTATGACGTATAAAGACAGACAAGATTGCTTTACATTTTTCATTTGCGAATATAAGCAACAGTTAGAAGTAAAATACTTTAATCTGCAAATCGACTCTCAAAGTTAATAGATGTCTATGAAGTGGACTTAAAGATTGTTTGCCAAACATTTAATTTTATTTATTAGACGCTCAGTGTCACACTGTTCTTTAAAGTAGATTTTCTTATCACTTGTGCTCTCATGCTTGTTATTATAGGTTCCCAAATGAAGCACTTCCAGCCACCCTTCTACTCATTGTTTAAAGAGAAGGGCATTTTTGGTAGGAAGACATCAACAATGTTAAATGGCACAGTGCTTATTTATTTTGAAAGTTAATCAGCACTGCCCAGATGGTATTAGTTGTTCTAACATTACAGTGATAATTACAAGCACCAAAACTGTATATTTTTAATTCCTTCACATAGAGATAGAGGGAGAGAAATTCAGGTAATTCCAGTTAAAGTCATTCTACATGAAGGGAGCTACAAATCACATGTATAAGTAAGATATCATCTGACTGGTTTTGTAAATGCCAGTGAAGTGCAAGCATCACCATACCCTTTACCATATCAGCAGTAGCAGAAGCAGCAGCAGTATTGTTGCCATTGAGGATCTCACAATGGCAATATGATCACAAAATGACCAATCTCATACTTTAGTAAAATTGGTGAAGACTTACACTAAAGTGGCCAACACTAGTTCATTTACTCTTTTGGAGTAGTTTATTAGAGTCATTGTATGTGCCAACATTACTAATATTCTAGAAAGTTCACCATGTGCAATTTTTAGAATATCAGATTTTTTTAGTCTTTTTACTACGACTCTCTCCCTCCCCCCAAATAGATAAGTCACCCACTAAATTCATCTGAATGCACAATATGGTTTAATACTGGAATGCTTAGAGAAAATACAAAGCCATATATTGGACTCAAAAGTTATTTTTCAGGCATACTCTGACTGAATATACATAATAATTTTGAACTGGATTCAGCTTAATTTCTGGTTACTCCTGAATTGTTGCTCAGATGCTTATCAGTTTCAAGGAGCCTACGTTGCTTGAAAGGCAGACCTCATACTTCATAGCTGACCAAACCCACTTAAGCTAACAGTCACTTGCGCTCACATCACAATTGTATATATCTAACCTTAAAGATTTTCATAAGCATTTAATTCATCACTGTATTAATTTGCATGTTTACACAATTTCAATTTGGGACTAAAAATTCTGAAATAAAAATTTAGACAAATTCTTCTAAATTCATACATGTGTTCTTCAGTTTCTTAGAGGTAGGGATAATGAGTAGGTATATGGCAAAGAATATTATTAAAGTACTTAACTGATAAGAAAAGGGATAGTTAAGTAAAATTTTAAGAATTACATCATAATTTTCCTCTGAGATCAAGGCATAGTGGGTCTATGATAAAAGTTTAAAATTAGAAGAGGGACTTTAGAGAAAGCAAATGACTACCCAATTAATTGAGTTGTCATTTTTAATTACCATAATGGAGTTTTACACATCCTAGTGATTGTATAAAGAATTGCAGTTTACAAACATATTATCAGCAGAAATTTGTCCTTGAGATTGTAGGTCTATAGAATAATGCAGCCACAGTGAATCCAGAAGGATAGGCCCATTTGAAGAAGGATACATGAGATATTTTTCCTTCCTCCACATTGTCACTCCAGTGAAGAGTGGCCAGTTTCTGTTATGTCTAGTTTTATTGTCACATGACCATCAATACACCTTGTGCTTGGTCTGATTTACTTCAGACAGAAATGGACAACTATCTTCAAAGCCAAGAAGGTCTCAGCAAACATTTATTTTTCTTAATTCCCAGTATGTTAGCAGTATTAGCAGCCATCTTTTCTTGCTTTAACGTTTTCTTTTTCCTTTGTGACAAATTAAAAAGCTGTATTTCCTTTTTCTATGAACTATAAGTCTCTGACACCTAATTCTTATGAATTATTTTGTATACCAAGTTCAAATCACAGTTTTTTAAAAAACTTAATCATTACTGTAATTTTGCTTTTTTTAAAAAAATTGGTAATTAAGATGAATCTGCATTTACAAGCTTTCTTTATGCAAAATTCTGGCAGAAGACAAACTTTACCATAAATGTTTAACGTAATTTCCAAAGCCAATTAAAATCATTTATATTTTGAACGTGTGATTATATTCTTCCTGATCTACATTTTATTGCACTAACGATGTGCACATTAAGTCAATAGCATGTCAGCTCTTTGATGGCAGGGGCTTGTTTATTTTATCATCAGTGGCTGGAAAAATCTGTGGTTCCTACTGGGGACTTAATTTTGGTTTTTTGGAGATGGAGTTTCACTCTTGTTGCCCAGGCTGGAGTGCAATGGGGTGACCTCAGCTTATTGCAACCTCTGCCTCCCAAATTCAAGAGAGCCTCCTGCCTCAGCCTACCGAATAACTGGGATTACAGGTGTGAGCCACTGCGCCTGGCTAATTTTGTATTTTTAGTAGAGATGGGATCTTCTCCATGTTGGTCAGGCTGGTCTCGAACTCCTCACCTCAGGTGATCCACCTTCCTTGGCCTCCCAAACTGCTAGGATTACAGGCGTGAGCCACCACGCCCAGCCCAACTAATATTTTTTTTAAATAAATGAATGAATCAAGGAATTTATTATCAAGAAGCTTCAACTTTATTATTTGTAAAATAATAAGTCCTATTTAATAATCTCCAAATCCCTTATGCAACTAAATTGTATACACCTGAATTTTTGTGTCGCCAGTGTCTAATACAATACCCTATATAGGTAGTCATACAAAATATTCAGTTTATGATAGTAGCAGAAATTGGAACACTTGAAACATTCAAATGCTAGAATTCAGAGAGCAACATCCTCATGAAAAAGCAACTGAACGTGATATAGGTATCCATTGACTTTCTTCAGAGTGTGTTCAGGTGGAGCAATAATTCCATGACTAAATTTGTAAGTGTTACGTAAAGCACTGAGTCTACAAGTTCTAGAATATCTGTTCAATATATTCATGTATGGCAGTAAAAGGAAGGCATGTTAATGTGCTAAGTAGAAAGTGGCAGGGGAAAAGTAACTATCTCATTATTCAAATTGCTGTTAATCATTCCAGTTGAAAGTAGGAATCATCACTTTGCAGATGGAAAAACTAAGGTAAAGAAAAGTTAACGTCCCTTCAAATCACAACTAGTTAGTGATGGAGATAGGCTAAGAAACCAGGGCGTCTTAGATTTTAGCCTAGGTTTAACAAAGAGTATGAATAAAAAGAGGAAATTCTGGGGGCATTCTTGACACTGAATGGCATTGGAAAAAATGTCTGTGAAGATAAGCTCTTAATATTATTATATTATTGGCTATAATTACTGGCCAATAAAATTTCCTCGTGTGCAATTATGACTCAAATCCCAAACCTTTCTTTTTAGTAGACTTTCTATCATCCAAATATGACAAGCAGTGTTTTTCATTTTTCTTATGTGACTATATGCATACATGTGTACTTCAGTGTATATGAATAGCTGTTTACATATCCTTGGCCAAATATAATTGATTTGTGTCAACTGTAAAATCATGTAAAAGATTTTTAGCGTGTTTGAAATACACAACTTTGAACTCATATAATCCCAAATATATTCTTTCTATATGTTTATAAGTAAGTCTTTAGTGAAAACAGATATTAAATTACCAATTACATTGTTTTTGTTAATTAGTAATTAGAAAAAACAATCCATTCAAATCTTGTATACTGTATTTTCCTACCATATTTTGGTCAACTTAAGTAATTAACAGTGTATACTATTAAAATTTAGTACTGTGAGGCATGGGAGACAAAATATGACAGTGAGAAAGAGCTAAGAGTCACCCACTCAAAAATCTCAGAGCATAATTAGTATGAATGTATCAAAGAAACTGAACCTTCAAATAGGGAGTGTTATTTTTATAGGTATTTCTTCTAACTTGCATAAAGCCAGTTTCCTCTGTTGGTGGAATACCTAACACTGACCAAGTTTAGAAACAAAATTCCTGACTAAAGAGACGGCTTCTTTTA